TGAAGATCCAGATCTATTGACTTGCTAGAGCTCATAGAGCTGTGGAACAGGTTGGCACTTCAAAGCCCCCCACACACACACTGCCTTTTTAACTTAATTTTAATTATTCCACTCTTGTTTAAATTGCCCCCTAATATAATTGCCTCCTAATGTAATTTTACATTGCCGAGAGTCGCGCTGTGAGTGAGATAGGCAGTCTCTAGTTTTGATATATAAATAAACAGAAAAAAGCAGCAAAACACAAATATAATTCCTCCCATATTTAATTATAACTTTCTTCTTCTTCAATATACTTTGCATCAGATGGGCACAGGAAAGGGGGGGACAGAACACTAGTATGTAAAAGGAGAGAAATACAGACATTTCCATGTTTCCCACTTCTAACAGTAAGTCAACTATCTTTCAACCACCTACAGCCATATGAATATATCATGTGTGACTTTGAAAGGTAAAAATTCGCAATGGACACCCAGACCATCAAGAGGGTGACTGGCTATGTGAAGGAGTAGTCATTGTTTCTCAAACCCCAGATAGGAACAACCTTGACTGGAGCAACTCTATCCCTCCAGGAAGCATTACTGAAAGCCAGCTCTTCTTTGCAGAACTAACAAGAGCAATCCCTCCCACATTCACAGCCTCTTGTGAAATTTAGTATTTTCAGTAGAAAAAAGAGGAAGGCAGCAGAATGGTTCCAATTTTCAGTCTGGTGTGTTCATTTACTTTGCTAATTCAACAGGAAGCTGAACAAGAGATGTAGCATAACATGGAGTTCAGTTCAGTTCAGTTCAGTTCATAGGCAGAGAGACATGAAGCTCTCAAAGTATTGGGCAGAAGAGACCATCTCTGACCCACCAAGCCTAATATTCACTCTTTCTTTTGTATTTCCACGTAAAGATTAGCTTAACAGAAGAGTCTGGAAAAAGGGGGAGGGTTCAATTAGTGCACTGGCCAGATTTATTTATTTTTTTGCCTTTTTAATTTAAATCCTCAAAAAGTTATTTATCAAATTTGAAAAATGCAATAGAACATAGAACAACAACAACAGATTTGGAAGGGACCTTGAAGGTCATTTAATGCTTAAGTAGGAGAGTCTATTTCAAATATTAGCCTATACCTAGGATCGAACTCACAGCTTCCTGACTGTGAGGCAAGAGCTCCACCTCTAGGCCATTGCACTGGACTTATAGCCCTATAATAGCCATACCGGGAAATCCAACAAAAATTATTGTTTCTTATGGCACTAAACTCCAGCTCCAGGCTCAATTTCAATTCATCCATTAAGCACCACTATTACCACATTCAACAACTGTCATGATTTAAGCCAATTGCCTTTATCCTACACTTTCTCCAAATCAACAATCATCAATACCTTTTCTTGTTGCTTTCATGTATTTCCCAATGACCTGTGGAAAAGTGAGTATCTGCTTCACACATCCCTTGCTTGGCATGAAGCCACATTACATTTCCCAAATTTTGCTGACTGTCTTGTCTCTTAGCTTTTCAATGAAATTCCTGCCAAACTCTTTCCTGAGCACTTTCACCGATCCTTCTGTAATTTTTGCATTCACCCTTGTTACTTTGCCTTTCATATGGGAGAAAACTTTCTTCCGATTATCAGGCACAGATTGAACCTCCAGATACAAACTTGTATTAAATAAGCTACACTGGAACCTCACAGGACAAAAGTATTCTTTGCTTCAGCTTTTACAATCTCTGCCAGCAGTCTCACCATTTTCAAACGTTATCATATTTATGATTTCCTTCCCATCGTCGACACAAAAACTTAAACTAATTGTTTCAATTCCACTTTTTGATCACTGTTCCCATAAACATCCCTAAAATATTTATTTGAATATTCTCCCACTTCAGTTTGATTACAAATAATTTTAATTCCGTTCACTCTTCTGAGGACTTGTTTAACTATCTTCGCCCACTTACCAAACATGTTATTTCCATTAGAATCGGTCTCTATTTTCTGTGTTTTTAACCTTATCAATACCTTACCCTGCCTGAGTATGTTCTTTGCAACTATATTTTTAAATCCCCTTTCCCCCATTTTTCCTATTCATAGCCTCTTTCACTTCATTGCTGCACCTCATCCTTCTCTAATCCTATCCTTTTTCCATCCCTAAATAACTGATTCAATGAGCTTTTAGATTAACGTTTTTCTCTTTTCTAAGCAGATTGTCACCAGTCACATTTTTATTCATTCTTGAATCTGCATTTTTTCTACTCATCTTCTTCCTACCTATCACTTTGTGTTTGTTACCTAGCATAATTTTCCATTCAGTCCCAATCAAATTAAAATGTAGCACAATTTTTCCCCAAACCAAGTGCTGACTACTTCTATTATCACCATGTACTGAAATATATAACATTCAATTATCACCAACCTACATAATCTTATTTTCCTATGCCCTCAAAATCTACTTGGCACAAATCCTTGTGTTCTAGCACATATTTTAGATCTATATCTTTTCTTTAATTTCATTTTTTTTAATTTTAGCATTTACATCTCTTATATTTAACATGCCATGTCCATTACCACATGGATACTGACCTCCAAATGGCATCATAACTAGTTAATCTAGTTAATCAGTCAATTTCATATAATGCCTTGTAGTAATATAGAGAAGCGATCATTTAAGCTACCAACCTTAGTTACACTGTTGCTATATTCAGCATTCCTTGCTAAAACATGGATAGCATCAATTAGATTTGTCACATTTTGGCACGTACATCAAAATGTACCAAATAACCCAACTCCACCCTAATCCCATTCTGCTGCTTTTGTAAGCTGAATCAACCACTACCTAGCAGGACAATTATTGTCCATAACTCAACAGTACAAAGCAGCACACTGGCACACACTCACTGCCAAACACTGACATACAAAATAAGATCAAGCTAATTTAAATTAGGCACGCTAAACTAACATCCCCAGCAAGTCATCTAATATTTTTTTAAATGCCAACAGAATTTACAGTCACACAGAAAATGACTAAACCTCCCAATTGGGCAGAAATGTAACCTTTATGTTGTGAGGCAGGTTCACCCGTTTCTTAGAAGCACTTCCCACCAACCACAAGTCAAACATTAAGCTATACTGTAGTTTCATGTTTCATTTTCATTTTTAGACCGTCACAGAAATGACAACCCTACATAAGCCAACTAGGCTTTCAAAATTTCTTGGCTGAAAATCTAAAATGGAAGCCCAGGAAGTGAGAATCCCTGCGTTCTCAAGTCTAGTCAAACAGCCCTTGCAAACACAGGGGTTACGGTTAAATACATCAATCTTTTGCAGAATATATACCCAACAAAAATGCTTTACCACCCAGCCAGCCTGTTTCACTTTTGATTATTATGTGGTTACAATCCACTTTCTTACTTTATTCCCCCCACAACTGGTTTATTGATAGGTATGATAAAATTATAATCTATTAAACTGGAAAGCCAATCAACTACCGTAAGGATCATCCTGGCATCGGGCTACTGAAGGCTCAAATAATGTATCAGTCATGCTCAATAAGAATGCACCTGACTAATACTGAGCAGACATACCTCACACAGCTGATGTGAAAAAGCAGAATTTATAAAGCATTGTGAGTATTGCTACAAAAATAGATGACTGCACACACAGCTTCAAAGCAACGTTTTTGAGAACACATTCTTGCTGAAAACTATCAGGTTATTTCTATAGAGTATTTCTTACCATTTTAACTGTAAGCACTAACAAACCCCAGTGCCATAAGGACAAAATGCTTTGTTTAACTGTTACCAGGTTTGGCAAAAACCCCTAATGAGATATATATATATATATATAGGAATGCTTTTGATTTCTCACAGCATATGCATAAAACATGCCTGCCCATAGCACAAACATAAATTAATGCAGCACCCTTCCAACATACAGCATACATACCAGCATAGATTTATTTTTACCATCCGATGAGAGCAACTAAGGCAATTTCCACCCTATTCAGCTAAGAGTGAGTCTAGAGTAGTCATTAAATTAAAAGAAATCAATCCTGCATTGTCAAGAAAATATTTGTCCTAGTACAGTAGAGAGATTCAAAGCATCCGCATTCTTAGATCTACCGAATTTTAAATTTTTCTTTCCGGAATCGTTCCAAAAGCCACTGTAGGGGGAATCTTTGTAAAAGTTCTATTCGATTCACACATACAACTTTGCCCATTCAGCCAACGATCAAAATGCAGATGGGAGAGGCTATTATGCGTCTCTTCAATGCCTGGACGCTTTCCTCCTCCCCAAAGGGGGTCCCAACAACAGAAAACCTCACACTCGGCAAAAGCAGCCCCCCCCCCAAAGGTCACGGATCAGGGCTCTCCCTCCCTTCCACACCCAGGCTGCGCTCTCAGACTTTCTCTTCCAAACCAACTCGTGTCGCAATTTCAGAAATAAAAAATAATGCAACCCTTCCCCCCCCCCAAAAAAAACCCCATTCCGATATTCAGCTTTGCACGATGAGCTGCCGCCGCATTGGGTTTTCAACCATTCTCTGCCCCCCACCCCTCGTCCCGCTCCCTCGAGTCAGAAAACTAACCAAGAGCTAACAAAAAGAGGATTTTTTTAAAAAAAAAACCTTTTCAGTTTTTTTTTAATTCCCCGATGCCTTGAGGTACCCAGCAGAACAATTTCTCTCACGGCCGACAGAACAGGCTGCAGCGAAAGGTGGTGGCGTTGAACGGGCTAGCCCCTCCACCCCGCCGCCCTCCAGATCGGGGGTGCTAAAACTCGACCGGACAGTCGGTGCAGTCCTGGACGCTTGCCCGGGACCAGATGCGTCGGAAAGAGGGATGGCGCGAAGCCAGCCCCGATCGCCCTCAAACTTCCCAGCAGGTCCGAGAAGAAGAAGGGAGCGTTTCTCTTCCCCCCTCATTCTTCCGCCCGTCCGTAACTCCGCCTCTCCTTCGCCCCATTCATGCCGGCCGGCCGGCCTGCCTGCCTTCTCTTCTTGCCCTCCATCCTTTTTTCTTACCTGGCTCGGCAGCCGAGGCCACGTTCCCGTCCGCCTTCTCCCACGGCCGCTCGGAGAGCGAGACGAGGCTCAAGCCCGCAGCGCCGGCGAAAGCCGACAGTCTCTCTCTCTCTCTCCCCCTCTCGCCCGCCCGCCTCGCTCCTCGACCCGCTCGTCTCTCCACCTTGGGCAACAGTTGGTAGTTGCGCGAAAGCCACGCCCCCCGCGGGTTCCTGTTGCTAAGCGCCCCGAGCGCTTCATTGTATCCGCCCGGTGAGCTCACAATGGCGGGGTTTGCGAAGATTCCAAAAAGGGGCGGAGCCAGGAGTCGAAAGGGAATAATCACTTGAAAAAGAGGTCAAGGCCGGCCGGCCGGCGTTGCTTGCGGCCGGCAGGGAACCGGAGTCTTAGCTGTAACGCTAACCGGCCGACCCTTGGGGAAAAGCGGTCGAAATCTTTCGCTGCTTTTAAAAAGGGATACATGTCGAAGCTGGGTCTTTTGGGGGCTGCGGTGCCGGGCAGTCGCGTTAAAGGGGGAGGTCCGGCTTACCTCATAAGGGTTGAGTTTTGAGTAGTAGCGCAGGTCCAAAACGTTTCATTTATATTTTGCCTCTTCATTCCTCGGACGGAGTAAAAGATAAGAGGGTAGTTTATGGACAGCTAAATTCAACCCGGTTTGCAAGCTTGCGACGGAAGAGGAAAATTCTGAAGAATTGTTTTTTTTTAAAAAAGCTCTTTTCTTTCTCAAGACCTTCTCCTTTGGACTTCCCTGCAGTAAAGTTCTTAATAATTCGGATTTGAATTCATAATTGGGGGCCTTTGTTTCAGCGGGATGCAACATTTACTTTACTTGGGTGATAAGAAACAGCTTGATATCTTACAGCGTTTCGGTGTTTGATTTTAAGTTTGCATACTGTGTAAATTCGGTCAACTGTACTTTACTCAGAAAATCATATTTAGCAGTCTGAGTAAACTAGTTAAATGAGCTATTTTTTTCCTCTCTTTTTTATTATATTGTTATAGATCTCAATGAGAGCACGTTTGGTTAAGGCATCAGTCTAGAAACAAGAAGATGCTGAGTTCTAGTTCCACCTTGGGCAGAAAGCCAACTGGATGACCTTGGGCCAGTCACTTTCTCTCACTCTTTTTCTTCAGAACAGTAGGGGAAATAACTTATTTCTATAAAATGCCTTGCTAAATTAAGAAAAAAGTGCCTCATTGAGACAGATCAACTATCCACCACACTGGACATCCTTTCATTCAGTTCATATTCCTTATTCAGATGAAATGCAACATGTTTTTTTCTCCAAAAGAATGTCAACCTTCCTAGGTACACCAGACAGTAAACCCAACCAATGAGATAATTCTACTTTATTGTAAGGCTATATTAACAGAATCTTGCAAGTCCAAAAATACAAATCTCCCACCACCATCTCCTTTAGACCCTTAGGGAGGGTTTCTGTCCATTATGAAACTGTCAGCTATGCCCTCTCTCACCTAATGACTGTTCCCTAGGCAGTATCTCTTTGCCCTGATCTTTCTCACATATCTCCATTCTGGGAGATAGGGTGGGCTAAAAGAAAAACTGGCCCCAAATAATTCAATGAACCTCTGTAAGGGAGGGTGGATTTGATTCTGGCTCTTCCCACTCCTAGCCTAACACCTTAATATTTATGCCACATTAACATATGCCATTGAAATCCACATGATAGCCTTAATCAAAATCACAGTAAGTTTAAGCATGGCTTTTTAACTACAATTGGCTGTATTTGGACAGTATATTAAGCCATATGTTATGATCTAGAAATCCCAGAAGTTGAGTTTACAGAATAGGCTAAACCAAGCTAAAAAAACATTAAGGTTTGTTCGTAACATGTGATCTCATTCAGTGATCACTGATAACTGATCAGTTTTACCATACAAATATATGATAAAACTCACTCCTTATGAAGTTCATCACTTTACTGGATCACTCCAGTAAAGAACACTCCATAAAACTATCCAAACATTCTATACTTAAACCCCAGATCCTTAGACCTGAAGCCAAGCAAGTTCTCTGTTAAATGCAATTTTACTTGAAATATTTGGTTCTTGAGTGGAAGCATGGATTCAAAGGTAAAACATATTTTACAGCAGGCTTGAATATGTATGTTCTACAGAGGAATTATTGAGTCATCTGCACCTCTATAACTGTCTGGTTTGGTTCTGCAACAAGACACAGACTCCAGAGAGTAATTAGGACTGCAGAAAAAACAATTACTACCCACCTGCCTTCAATCAAGGACCTGTATACTTCACGAGTCAAAAAGAGGGCTGTGAAAATATTTACGGACCCCTCACATCCCGGACATAAACTGTTTCAACTCCTTCCCTCAAAACGACGCTATAGAGCACTGCACACCAGAACAACTAGACACAAGAACAGTTTTTTCCCAAACGCCATCACTTTGCTAAACAAATAATTTCCTCAACACTGTCCAACTATTTACAAAGTCTGCATTACTATTACTATTAATCTTCTCATCACCCCTTATCACCCATCCCCTCCCACTTATGACTGTATGACTGTAACTTTGTCGCTTGTATCCTTACGATTTATATTGACTGTTTCCTAGTATGATTTGATTGCTTATTGTACCCTATGACTATCAGTAAGCGTTGTCTTGACTCTTGATGAATGTATCTTTTCTTTTATGTACACTGAAAGCATTTGCACCAAGACAAATTCCTTGTGTGTCCAAATATACTTGGCCAATAAAGAATTCTATTCTATTCTGTTCTGTTCTGTTCTGTTCTGTTCTATTCTACTCTACTCTACTCTACTCTACTCTACTCTACTCTACTCTACTCTACTCTACTCCTATTCCTATTCTGTGCTCCACCTGATAAGGCATTTGGAAGAAGGCTGATTCTCTTTACTTAGCCACACGACCCTAGGAAAATACACATTGAATGAAAGAGCCACCAGCAAGGCACCCTCACCTGTTCTGAACCTGTTACTGAATCATGTTGTTACCTCTAAGTCAAATATGTATTTTCCTGGAATTGCATAACTACTATGCAAACAGGAAATGTAGCTTTTAAGGAGGCATAAACAGGTATGCTGTGCGCACCCGTGCCTCCTCTTCCTTTTCAACTTTGGAACCAAAGTCCTGCTGATTCCTATTTCTGATCATCATTTTTCTGAGCTTTGGAGTACTAGGCTATCAAAAGTACTTACATGAAAGACGACCTGCTGTGTGAAACAAAGGTGATTGGTTCTCAGGGCAAGCCTCTAGAGGTAGTCCTTGATTTACAACTGGTCACTTAGTGACCATTTGAAGTTAAGATGGACACCCCAAAAACCACTTGTGATCCAGTTCCAAAGTTCCACCGACTATCCTCCCCCCTAGTCACATGACTGCATTTGGGGCACTTGGCAACCAGTTTGAATTATGGACATATGTAGTATCTTAGGGTCACATGACCACAATTTATAATGCTTTTGCCAAAAACAAATGTTTACTTATGGTTTTTGACAAAAATGCCCCATGGCAAACAATGGGTTCGCTTAACTACTGCAGTGTTTAATGAACACTGATTTATTTAGTAACCATGGTGATTTGCTTAATCACTGTCACAAAAAATCTGTAAAATTGGTTACATGATAACCTGCTTTACGCCTATAAATTGGCAAACTCCATTATCAGTGTAAGTTGTTATCACTGTATTTCTCAGTGCTGATGCACAACCAGGGCTGCCTCACTTTATTCTTCTGCTTTCAGTAACTTCCTTTTTCGGGGTAGCATTTCTCAAACTCTGGCTTCTGTTGTGTAAACCATTAATTTGCTTGTCTACAAAAACATATTTGAAAGGAAGTGAAAATAAAATGAAAATGAGAGAAACAGAAATTTTCTGATAAAAGTTTTATCCTTCAAAGCATCTTCCTAACTGCAATCCCTTCATGATGATCATCTCTTATCTCCTTGGCAATGGACTCAGAAGGGAAGGTGCTCTGTCCTTCACTCTTTTCCTGAAATTTTTTTCAGAAAATACCAAGTTATAACTGTTGTCCAAAGGCCACAGTTTCTTAATTTAATAAACCCACAATGGACCGAACCATGTTTTGCTGAATTACACCAATTGGCTCACATAACACACGGAGATATAAAATACAGTAATCCCAATAACTAAGTTTGTTCAACGCTTCAAGAATACAACTGAAACTTAGCTCTTTGTGTCTCACCAAAGAAGCCATTCAGTGTCTTTCTTGCAGAATTTTTCAATAGGGCTGTGAAAAAAAAATATGATAATTGTATTCTGTAGTAATCAAAGCAATTGATTTATTGTTGCTGTTGACATAAAACTATTTTTTTCTAATACAATTGTGAATGTGGTTTTGGAGACTTTGCTTCTTTCAGCATGAGTAAGCATGGACTGCATTTCCATAGTACTGCTGTTCCATCCCCGCTTCCTTTTGATTTCACATTTTGACTGCGCTGAGGCTATCCTGAAGCTGCATCCAGTTATTATCTTCCCATGGAACACAATTTGAGATGCAAAGGGGGGGAAATGCCAGGGAAATGGGAATTACACCTCTTGGTTAAATTGGTGGAAGCTGTTTCATCAGTAGAAGAGGGTACTTTCTGTATATTCATTATATACTCTTTACCACCTTTTATAACTTGTTAGAAATGAAGCTAATAAATAATCAAAATAGATAAACATAGAAAACGTGACAGATGTGTTGAGACTTCAATTCCCAGACTAATTATTTATAGGTTGCCGTTCCAAAAATTTTATTTTATTTTGCAACTGTAAGCTTTTGAGGCATTTCCGCTGTTCAAATATATATATGAAATTCGAGATCCATGCAAAGAGTAGAGAAGAATAAAAACAATTCGTTTTCCTCATCCACTTTAATTGGATTTCTTTTTTTAAAAAAAATCCTAGATCTAACATATTTTGTTCCCTAGATTATTAAAGAGGGTTTTTCCCCCTGAAATATTTGTCAATGTTATAAATAAACAAAGCATAAATTACATTTTCTATTTAAGAAAATGCATTTACATGTGAAACATCTCGAGATGTTTGATAAGCTAACATTATTTTAAATCCTGCTAGATTATGAAAGCCAGAACAAAGCAAAATGTCCCAATGACCTTAGTTGTATGCTATAAGT